GAATGAAATAAGCTGTTGATCAAAATAGATCTAGAGACATGGAAGCAGGAAACAGACCGACAAACCTCAGAGGGGAAGGGGTGGGAGGGGGGAGGCTGGGAAGAGAAAAAGATTATTCTTACTACTAAGTGGAAAAGGAGTGGGGGCAAAGTTGGAGAGGAGGAGACCAGTTAGGAGGCTGTTAAGGCAGACCGGGTAAAAGATGGTGGTAGTTGAAACTGGGGAGAGGGTCTAAAAATGGGTATTTAGAAGAGGAAAAGGGATAACTGGTCAACCTCAGAATGAGTTTTGAGAGTAGAGACCAGACTCTGATGGATTGAATGTGCTACGTGAAAGAGCAGCAGGGTGAACACCCACTGAAGGGCTAAGATTGCAGGAGTGGGTTTGGGGAACGGGAAACAGGAGTTCGTCTCCAACCTGTTAACTCTGAAATGCCAACTATGTATGTTGGAAGAGATTAAGTGAGACTATATATTTTAAGTGCCTAACATAGAATAGGTCTTATCTAAAATGTTAGCTTCCTTAGCTTTCCTTTTGTGGTATGTGACATTTTGAACAACTTCCTTCTAAAATTTCTGTTCCCTTTGCTTCTGTGACATCTCTCTCTCTATTCTGTTATCTTTACCACATGTTATAGTTCCTTTTCTTGGACACTCCCCTTGAATGTTTGCCTTTGCTAATAGTCTGCCTTTGAAGCTCTTCTCATGGTTAACACTTTCGTATCTATCCTTCTAGCCTTTTTCTTGAATAAAGATTATATATATTACACATATATAAAATATACATCTTACATATATAATGAGCTCTTCATTGTAAATAGAATTACAATGTGCTTGTTTAATTATCTGTAAACATCTTCAATGTCATTACACAGTCTTCTAAAACATCATTAAAACAAATTCCTAAATATACCATAATGTATTTAGTTAATCCTCTATTATGTTTTCTCATTCTGTTTTTGGTGGTTGTTTGAGGTTTGCTGGAAATATACATGCTATTTATTATTTTAAATAATTTCAAACATATAAAAAATATTGCAAGAATAGTACAAAGATTATACCATATACAAGAATAAACTAAAATATGGATTGCAGACTTAAATGTTAGACTTGAAAAAAATATAGGCAGTAAAATCTCAGACATTTCTCAAAGCAATACTTTTTTCTGATATATTGCCTCAGACAAGGGAAACAAAAGAAAAAAATAAACAAATGGGAGACTACATCAAAATAAAAAGTTTTGCACATCAAAGGAAACGATTCACAAAATGAAAAAACCCACTGAATGGCAAACATATTCACCAATGATATGTCTGATAAAGGGTTCATATCCAAAATTTATAAAGAACTTATAAAACTCAACACACACACAACAATCCAATTAAAGATGGGCAAAGGACCTGAATAGACAATTCTCCAAAGAGGACATACCTGTGACCCTTCACCCCTTGGATCAATGTTCTAACCACTGAGACACACTGGCCAGGGTTGAAACCTATATAATTTTATTAACCAATGTCACTCCAATAAGTTCAATAAAAATTAAAAATAGAATAGTACAGCCCTGGTAGTGTTTCCCAGTGGTTAGAGTGTTGGCAAGTCTTGGGTTTGATTTCCAGTCAAGGGCTTGTATCAGGTTGAATTCCCAGGCTCTGATTTCAGGCATGTGGGAGGCAATCAATTGATGTGTCTCTCTCACATTACTCTCTCTCTCTCTCTCTCTCCCTCTCTCTCACCCCTCCCTCCTTCCCTTCTACTCTCACTAAAAATCAATGGAAAAAATATCCATGGGTGAAGGTTAATGATATAGCACAAGGAAATATGTTTGTTCTTGAGCCATTTAAAAGTAAATTACCTACATGATGCCTACGACCTCAAGTAATCGAAGTAATGCGTATTTCCTACACAGAAAAACATTTGCCCACATGACCACAAAGCCATTCAAATTAGAAAATTAATATGGATACAGCTCCACTGACCCATCTATGGATCTCACTCAGGTTTCACCAGTTTTCCCAATAAGGTCCGATAGGGCAAAAGGGTTCAGTTCACAATCACAAGAGGCATTCATTCCTCCCACCTCTTGCGTGTTCTGGAACACTGCCTCAGTTTGTCCTTGATGTCATAATCTTGACACTTTGATTCGGGTTTTGCATCATATTGTTGCCAAATGGTGATTCTGTAACTCTATTATGCCTTTTACATCTATTGGTTGTCATTCTATTGCAAGAAAAAGCTTTTTATTTTCTGAATCTCTGCATTTATTTTTATATTAATGACTATAATCATAACTATCATTATTGATTTTAATCCTTAAATTTTCCCAGATTGGCCAATAAGAGCCCATTCAAGGTGACTTCTCTGTCGTTACAGCTTCATAATTCTTTGAGAATTTTCTTACTTACTAGTTTAGCAAAATGTTCCAGGCTTATCTTGTACATTCCTTGCATCTATCTCTAGAATCAGCTGTTTCTTCAAGAAATTCTGTTCTTTTTATCTGGAGAGTGGTATTTTAGAAACCAAGATCTGGGTGCTACATGCTTATTGTTATTAGGATGTCACTCTTCCAGCCCACTCTGAGAACAGGGCTAGCAAAAGTATGTGCGCATATACTATGTACCTGTATTGATACCTGTTTTTAAATATGTACCTGTCTCGATACCTGTTTTTATATATGAACCTGTCTCTCTGTCCATCTATCCATGGGTTCATGCCAATACCTCCAATTCTAATCCAGCATCACAAGGCTCATTCTAGTTTTTTCATATTTTAATATTTCATATTCTTCCACAGTGAGGAATATTGATCCCATTACCTTCAATACACTTACTTATTTGTGATCAATCAAATGTAAGCAATCTGCTATTGCCCGGGAACCACTGCCTGGCCATTGCCACTCCGACACTCACCGCAGATGCCCACCTAGCCTGACGTGGCTCTAACACTAAGCCTTGTCCCCCACCTCCATCCCTTCAGGCAGAAAGCCCTCCTCACCTGCCAGGCGTCAACACCTCACGCCAAGCTGCTGCAACCACGTTGTCCACACACATGTTCTCTGTGCCCTGCTTGGGTCCACCCTGTTCTAAGGTGCAATGCCCTGCACACACTCACATTGATGCCCACCTTGCTCCGCCACACCCATTGACTTTTGACTGCGTTTAAGGCAGGCAGGCATGCAAGCAGATAGAAAGGATGGTAGGAAGGCTAACCCTTTATTTTTAAACATTTAGGTGGTTTCTAATTTGGGACACAAAAATATCTTTCCTGTTATAGATCATAAATTTTTTAAAAGATAAATATGCTATATAATTATTTCCTTTCTTACTTCCTGAGACCATGAATAAAATTAATATTCTTAGCTCTCCCCTCTGCAGCCTTCCGTTTACCTCCAAAATCTTAAACAAATACTATACTTATAGCATATTGCTTGCCTGGAGGTAAGGTGAAGGGAGCAGCATAGTTCCTTAGCTTGATTTCAATGAACAGTTTTCTCAGGGTCTTTTATATAACAATTCACCCTTCATTATTTTGCCTCAGCAAACTTTAACCTGCAACAACCCAAAATCTTAATTTTTGCCATTTCCAAAACACAACCACCAAACTAAGTTCAGTCACTTCAATTTCTTTTAATATCAAAATGATTAGGCTAAGTCAAATTCACTAATATTGTTTAATGTTATTTAAATGAACACTTGGGAGGTTCATCCTTACTATAATGCCCTAAGAATTTAAAAGAAGGGGTCATATATTATTTTTTCCTTTAACTCTTTTTACTGTGGTCGTTGTTGTTCCTGTTTTTATTTAGTAGAGAGAATTCACTTCAGGAAAAAATACTCTGGAAACTACCATAAAAAGAACTTGACATTCAAGTAATTTATTTCCCAAGTTTTATTCACTTTTCCCTTACTAATATAAGATATATTATAACACCATAATAGAACAGAATATCCTACCAAGAGTTAAATTTCTGCCAAAATCTACAAAATTATAATTTTCTTCATCTTAGGGTTCTACATTTATGTAAATTTCTATTAGTACAGTCCCCTACCATTTGTTACATTTTATAGTTGCTAGGGAAGTTACCCTTGAATTAATGATGTATATGTTAGAAGAAATGACTCACTCTCACTTCCAATTCCTTTTGGATGAATCAAGTATAAATAAATCTACATTCTGGAAAATTTGTTCCATGGAATAAATGTCTCAAGAGATGGTGTATGAAAAACTAAAACGGGGGTTGGTGGAGGATTATGCAATAAAATAAATATTGTAATGGTATTTCTAATGTTCCCTTTTAAAAATTCACAAAGAGCCCAGCGGGTGTGACTCAGTGGTTGAGTGTTGACCCAGGCACCAGGAGGTCACCAGTTTGATTCCCTGTCAGGGCACATGCCCACGTTATGGGCTCGATCCCCAGTTGGGGGCATGCAGGAGGCAGCCAGTCAATGTTCTCTCTCATCGATGTTTCTATCTCTCTCTTCCTCTCCCTTCCTCTCTCTCTCTGAAATCAATAAAGAAAAAAAGTTCATAAAGCACATTAGCATAATACAGACTCTGAGAAGCATGGAAGTAAAGAAATTCCTTTCCTTTGCTTAATCCAGAGTTTCCCAAATGTGTTGACCCAGTGTCAATGTGTGTGTTCCTGTTTGTGTGCCCAATGCCCCTGCTACAATCCAAGCAGCTGGGCTGCACATGACAAGCGTTGCCCAACACTAGCTTTTAAAAGGGGTATGATGTGGTTTATTGTTTGCCAATAGCTGACTCCAGTTAGAAGAAAGTATTTCAGTGGCTGCTGCTGCTACAGAATTATGCAAGACAGTGCAGTCTGACAGTCTCTAACAACACAGGAAGGATTTTCAAATGCCTAGGTGAAGAATGCAAGGTGATTATTTAAAGATCAAAGGCAAGCTTGTGTTTTGTTTAAACACAGGACAGAAATAGAAAGACAATGATCATGGTCGAAGAGTTCTGGGCTTCACTTGATGCTTCTTTCTTTTTCAGCTGGGCACCAAGGAAGGCTACCTCACCAAGCAGGGGGGCCTGGTCAAGGTAAGGATGCGAGCGTTTGCCAGAGCCAGCCACGAAGGAAGAAAACGTGCCATGTAGACTCAGTTCTCACTCTGACACTTAAAAGCATAATTGCCTGCTCATTTGGACCCAGTTCTAGTACTTACCTGCTTCGAGATTTCATCCTAATGACTAATATTAGCTAAAATTCTGGAAAGTTACTTGATTCTTCTTTGGCAAAGCCAAATGTATCAGAGTAGCCTACGGTTGATACCCAGGAAAAATTAATGGAATGATGGAGGATGAAAGTAGCAAATGAATTCTAGCAATAGTTCTTTTTTAAAAAAAACTTTTTTAACAAAGAATTTGAAATTGTATGAAATGTTACCTTTAAGTAGGCAAAAGACATCACTGGCATTGATGTAACTATGTTGTTTTTTTTCTTAATCCCAAAGAAAACACAATTAGGACTTTACGTGTGAGTCCGAGTGTCTAACTGTCCCTTCGTTTATGTGATCATATGTTTAAAGTTACTGTCACATTTTACTGTGCCAAGATCTTCATGAAATATCTCTACCTTTCCTATTTTAAGAGTCAGGAAACTTAATCTCTCTCAAGGGTAACTCCCAGCTTGACTTGAACCTAAATATTTAGTTGTTTCTGTCCCTACTAGATGGGATGCTCCCTAAGAACAGGAAGTATTCATATTCACAGCAGGTTTATTTTTAAATCCATTGTTACATGTTTAAACAGGCACATTGGCACTCAGGATAGGATTAGGGTTCGATTAGTAAATAAAGAGATGTGGGGGACAGCAGTTTTTGCCATCAATGCCATGGAATTCTTAGGCAAAGTTTAGAGTATTACGTGGCTTGAGGTTCCTAAACCTCAATTTGCATATTTGTAAAACAAGAATAATAATCTTTGACATTGTATGAGGATTGGCTATAATATAGATAAACCTCCAAGGATGGTATGTAGCCCTAAGCAAATGCTCTCTGTTCTTATTACAGAGTTAATAAGATGGAAATTTTAGTATTTGTTATAAAATACCTTGAATGTTTATGGTAAGCTATTTTTTAAAAGTTGTTTAAATATGCTAATGATATACTTGCTTTTACTATGAGCTTAATGCACAAATCATTTTAATTTTGTAGATATTTTAACTTTTTCAGAAATGACACCACAAGAATATTTTATTGTATCTAATCTTTTAGATATATATATTTATTTATTAAAAAAAAATTTTTGGTTAATCCTCACCTGAGGATATTTTTTCTACTAATATTTAGAGAGAGTGGAAGGAGGGAGGGAGGGAGAGAGAGAAAAACATTAATTGGTTGCCTCCTGCACAACCCTGACTGGGGCCTGGGATCGAACCTGCAACCCAGGTATGTGTTCTTGACTGGGAATCGACCCAGCAACCCCTTGATCCACAGGCTGATGCTCTAACCATGAAGCCAAACTGGCCAGGGCCATATCTGGCCCTATCTAAAATAACTGGCCATATCTAAAATATTTCTAAAACAAAAGAGAATTATCTGGTTCAAATATTGCATTTCTGTATTCAAAACCTATGTTCTGAATTTTTTTTTTCTCTCAGACCTGGAAAACAAGGTGGTTCACTCTGCACAGGAATGAACTGAAATACTTCAAAGACCAGATGGTGAGAAACGTGATAATACATGTTCCCTTTTAAAATCAGCTCTCTAGATGAAAGGAACATCTGCCTTTAAAATCCCTAAACTTTTCCTTATGAGCACCTGAAGCACCCCCTAAATCAGTGGAAACATGAGTTTTTGATTCCTGATATGAGCCAAGTTCTTTTGCGAAGATGAGATGTGTCTCCCGGGGACTGCTCTCCAGACCCGCTGACCCAGGGCAATGGAACCGTTCTCTTACCACAGTGTACTAACTGTCTCTTGCAGCAATTTCTCCCTTTATTAACAGCATGTGCATGGCCCATGTTCATGTCATTAAGCTAATTTTAATTTATTTTGTTTCTTCTCACCTTCCCTGTACAAAATTTCTGAGAAAGTAGAAGTTTAAACACATAAGAGAAAAATGACTTCCTTCCTTCCATGTGTTAAAATCCATCTCCATCAAATTAAAATTTATAAATCAATGTCTTCTTAGTGCTCAGTTGCATGAGAGGCCAACTTCCAAACCAGGAATGTGTTACTTCCCTTAGTAGGTTTTCTATTATCCATCCCCTTGGTGAAAGGAAAATGTACTGTTGCACATAGTTGAAGATTTGTTAGTGGATAAGTGAGGGACAGATCTGTGTTTGTTTTATGATGACATAGGTTGCTTTTCTTTCTTTCTTTTTTTTAAGTCACCAGAACCAATTCGGATCCTAGACTTAACAGAATGTTCAGCTGTACAGTTTGATTACTCACAGGAAAGGGTAAACTGTTTTTGGTAAGTTGTTTTATAAAGAAAATATTGTTTTCAAGTTTTCTTTTTATCTTTTTTTTTTTTGGTGGTACGTGCCCCTAGCGGGAACCGAACCCAGGACTCTCTGGTCTGCAGGCCGACGCTCAACCACTGAGCCAAACTGGCCAGGGCTCAAGTTATCTTGCTACTTATTTTAGCTGAGGAATAAAAAACGATGTCTGAATGTGTACAGAAGTTTTGATCTGGGTGACATGGATTTAGCCTAATAAAAAAATCAGGCATTTTGCTAGGAGTGCACATGTGCGGGTACAGTCGGTTAGGGACTGCACTGCCCGAGTGTGACCCACAAAGGGGATGCCATTCACCTGAAACCGCGTTATTCCTTTGGAGTTTTGGCCTCAGTTATAATTTTGTTGACTCCAATCACAGGTGAGTTGTTTTGTGATGACAATTTCTGGGAGATGCCACAAAAATGTTTTGTTCAAACATAGTCAGTCTAGCATGACAGTTTGCTAACTAGGAGAAGTAAAGTATCTTGAGAAAGCAGTGTCTTATTTCCTACCAACTTTTATTTTAAAGTTTTCAAGCCTACAAAAGTTGAAAGACATATATCTATATATCCCTCACCTAGACACATCAATTGTTAATATTTTGCCATATTTGCTTTATCTTTATCTATTCACTTTTTTTTTTTTTTTTACCTGAACCAATTGAAAGTAAGTTGCAGGTATCAAGACTCTTTACCCTTAAATACTTCAATATGCATGCCTTAAGAATAAAAAGATCACTTATAGAACTACAATACCATTATCCCACTTAAGAAAATTAAAATGAATTCTATAGTATCAACCAAGAGTGGACATCTTTAAAAATTTTACATAAAGCAACCATGAGGCAGCAGGGGTTTATATTTTCTCATAACATACGATATGAAAATATTGGGAGGGAGGCAGCTGACTTGACAAGGTCAGGTCCTATATCGCTACAACTTTGTCGGCCTTTTCCTCATGTTTACTGCTCCAGCGTTTATGTGAGTCATGATGAAAGACGTAGGGATGGCATCGGCCATGTCTGTCCATTCTTATCAGGAAAGTACAAAATGTCCCGGAAAGTTTCCTATCAGATTTCCCCTCATATCTCATTGGCCTAGACTCGGTCCCTTGGCCATCGCTGGCAGCCGAGGAAGCTAGGAAAGGGTACTAGCATGATTATAATTGGCTTCAACCAATTATAATTTATCATCTGGAGGTCTGTTAGTAAGAAGAAAGGAAACTGTTCTCTGTATTAATAGCCAAGGAATAATGGTTCCCACAGGGAGTAACGAACAATGACAATGCCAGAAACCAGTTTCATACAGTGTGCCCACAGTGCCACTCCATCCTACCTCACTGTCCACTCACCCCTCAGTTGGACGTCATTCACATCAAGGTGTACCCTCTGTATACAGGGACTGAGGTCTCATCTATTAAACATTAATTACTGGTATAAACAAAATATGTTGTTTGTCTTTAGGATATAGAAACCCTTCTGAATTTCAGTTCAAGGCTTTTTTTTTTTTTTCTTTTTTATGAAAGGGGAAAAGATTTTTGGTATTTTGCATCTCAACTGTAAGCCCAGGAAGTATGGATAAGATGTAAGCTACAGCTGACCTTATTAGTCAAAGGATTTTAACTCAATAGCCAAAGAAACAATCAAACGAAGAGCTACCATATATTCCTAGAACAAGTCTTCTGTGCTAGTAGGAAAGTTCATCTTCCCTCCAGCAGAGACTAACTCATGGCCGGAGGTGGGCAGGATGACTAGCTGCTTATCTCCACAAGGGGGCGGCGTTAGTCTCGCTGAGACAAGATAACCCAGATGAGTTCCTTCATCAAACTCCTTCTCTGTCTTGAGTATTCTTTAAATCATAGCACGGGTTCTGAGTCATTTTACAGGTCAGCTGAATAAACATGGGAGTTGTGTGTTCAGTCTAAGACAAAAGGATATGGGTGTATCCTGGACGCGTTTTCCTCTTCTTTGGATTCTCATTTGAAAATATAAGTCTGGTCCATAATGATAACGTGAATCCACAACGTCCTCGACGTTTCTGCAGAGTGCTGGCGGGAATAGCTCTGAATACAGCAGATTGCTTCCTCCGGCCTTGTGTCAACTCTTGTTTTCTTGGAATCCTCTAATTAGTGTTCAACTAATGTGTATTCAACTCACCACCTAGAGTATCTTACCTTCTTTCTTTTGTCTTCAGCTTAGTATTTCCATTCAGGACATTTTATCTCTGTGCAAAGACAGGAGTAGAAGCTGATGAGTGGATCAAGATATTACGCTGGAAACTGGTAAGTTATGCAACTTTTCTGGATGGATGACTAATACTCAGAAATAACATGGTGATGATTTGAGACATGTTTCTGTTGTAAGAGTTAGACTATCTCCGAGACTGGGATGTCTATTGGTAGGCTTGTGGAATAGTCTGTTCCTTTTTTTTTTTTTTTTTTTAAATCCTCACCCGAGGATATTTTTACATTTCTCTTCAAAGAGAGTGGGGGTGGGGGGGCATCGATGTGAGCAAGACACATTGATTGGTTGCCACCCACATGACTCCAACAGGGGCTGGGGACAAACTGCAACCAAGGTTAAGTGCCCTGGGCCGGAATCAAACCCGGGACTCTTTGGTCCGAACGTGGGGCTCTTTGGTCCGCACGCCGACACTCTAACCCTTGAGCCAAACTGGCCAGGGCAGTCTGTTCATTCTTTAGGGACATGGAAGGGCTGCAGAAAGGGGTAAAAAGCAAAAGGATGGACCTGCACTGGGTCTCAGCCCCAGAGCCTTGTGCTGGAGCATCTGTCGGTCTTCCTTCAAGTGTGCAAGCTTGGCCAGTTTTGCCTGGAGGAGGACAGTGGGACCAGAAAGTCAAACAGAGGAAAGCTGACATATTTCTACAGTAGAAAATCCTTTAAAATTGTCAGAGAAGAAAGCTTGCCACAGGAACCTAGTTTAATTTCCAGCATAGCATTACTTTGTACAGGTCAAGGACAAAAGATAATTTATTTTATCTGTTTTCTATATATCTTCCAGGGGGAATATGGAGTGCTTATAAAAATTTATCAGTTTCATACAGTTTTTGTACATGTTTGTAAGTTAGTGAACTGTTAGCCCAGAACTTGACCTTAAAGCTTTCTAAAAACTCCTATGGACACATGATCTTGAAATCCTTAAACATAAACAATTTTTCTAATTAATTTTTTTATGAAATTAGCTGATATACAGAATCTTGTTAAATCTTCCTTTCTAGATACTTGACCTTTTGTTTCGGTTAACTTTTCAGTTTGAGATCCAAATAAATATACCACTCATTTGAAAAGTTCTAATGTATTTGATACCCAGTGGGAATTTTTTTGCCATATGAAACCTTTGCTGAGATATGAATCAATTTTTTATTCTTCGTATTTTATAATTACACAAGTAATATATAATCATCATAGAAAAATTAAGGTTAAAAATACATCAAATGCGCATACTTTCAGATTTCTCCCTGTGTCAATAACTATTTTATTTATTTTTTATTATTTTTTAATATTTTTATTTTTTATTAATTTCGTTACAGATGTTTCTCCTTATTTCCCCATTGACACCCGTTTAATAAATATTTTTAAACAAAACTTACTCATTCTTAAGTGTTTACCCACTCACTCCACCTAATAATATATTGTGAATATATTTTCATATCAATAAATTTAGATCTCTGTCTTCTGATTCATTTAGTAGTATAAAATTTTATGGATTACTATAAGTATTAGGCCAATTTCCAATTTGCACAAGTTTTAGCAACCACTTTACTATATTTCTCCTGAGAAAATTACAGAAAAAGAAAAAGATTAAAACTTGGGGGGAGAGAGCACATGATAATTAATTTATAGTTGCACGGTTTCCTTACTAATCAGCATGTCTTAATATTTGTTAAAGCCAGAATTTGTTCTTAAAATCGCTCAATAATACATACACATATGTGTGCGTTTTATTACAGTCTCAAATAAGAAAACAGCTCGACCAAAGGGAAGGCACAGTCCGATCTCAGTCGTTCATCTTCAAATAGACCCTTCCCGAGAGGGGCGCCATGGCCCGGCCGCCGCGTGGCGTGTCCACCGGTGCTGTGATCCATAGCAGGCTTCAGCCGAAAGCTGAGTACGGATTTTTCTTTACAAACAAATCCAAAGCAGATGTTGATTGGATCTTTCCGAACACACCACATTTGCTGACTCGTGGGAAGCTGCAGCCCCTCGAGGTGTTGTCATCTGCTTCAGTACCCACGGTCATCGTTCTGATGGAAATGGTGTGGCCGCCACACCCAGTGCGCTCACTCCTAGAACACGCAACGGAAGAGAAAGGGTTTGTGTTTTCCCTCACCGGGGTCTTCAAGCTTGTGGACATGATTTGCCGGGAGTCCCACTCTGCCACGGTCAGCTTCACTGACAGGTTGAGCTACTAACCGGGAAGGAAACAGCTGTCTACTTTGAGGCTCGGGCTGCCTCTTTAGAAAGTATATTGAGATAGCAGACATCAAAGATTGGTTTGGGAAGGGAATAGGATTATTCTTCAAAAAACAAAAAAATATTAAAAAAAAAACCAAAAAAATATTTCCAAAACTATAATGGAAAATGTTTGCAGTATTTATTTTCTCTTCGTAAAAGGCTCAGAAGTCGGTGGGCTCCTCCTTCCTTTCTAATGGTAAACTTGTGAAAACTAAATGTCTTATGGATGACTATGTAAGATGACAAAGGAAGGTATAATCTAAAAAAAAAATCTCAATCATTTTGGAGAAAATATTCTAAAGAGTGAGAAAACATAAACTGGGGAAGGGTAATAAAGTAGTAGATGATATAGCTTAATGATATTATTATAAATATTACTCTAATGATAATAGAGCATATGGAAGTGCTAAGTTATCTTCATCCAACATTTCTCCAAATAGACTGAGGGAGTCTTTTCAAGAAGAGTATGTCACAATGATCCCTTCCCCAGAGTTAACTGAAGGTGTTGGCCCAAGAGAAGGAAGAATCACCCAGCACTGCGAGGCCTGAGCACCCTGCACCTTATTCAAGAGCAACTTTTGTTGCCAGTGGAGGGAGCAATACTAAATCCACATGCAACGTATAATAATGTGTTTTTTACACAGCATTTTCAAACTGGAACAAGGGGATTGAAACGGGAAGGAGATACTGTCATCCAGAGCTCATAAATAGATTCTATTATCTTTGTTAATATTCCTTTTTTTTAGATAGAAGTTTGAAGGAAGAGAAGGTGGGGGGAGAACCCCCAAACACGATTATGGTGCAAAGCTACAACACTGCTCTTGCAGTCCAAAGGAATAGTTAGTTAAGTTAGTTTTGTTAATTTAAACATCTAGCTCTCAGAAATTCCATTACATTTTTGTATATTTCAAAAAGATGGGTTTTTTTTGTTGTGTTTGTATCATATGAGATAAAGCAAATGTCAAGTTAAAATGTATTCTGTTACATTCGCACAGTAAGGAGCTACAAATGGTTTTATATTTTGTTTCCCTAGAACCAAGGGTGTTTTTTGTGTGTGTAGGAAATGTTATTTTTACCTTTTGTAAAACATGTCATGTTTATTTATACTTTTTGGTTATGTTTATTAAAAAGAGCCTGATTTTCTGTGCCTGTAATAGTTTGCCATTAAAATATATTTTAATATCTGTAATTTAAAAGAATTTCAACTGATTAATATCATAAATAGCAATGAAGAATCCATATCGGTTAGACTATAAGCTATGAAAGATTCAGTTGAAAAAGTAGTCTAGGTCTTCAAGGGTTTCTTAATTGAATATGGAAAAGACAATAGACACATGATAATGTATAGACGTAAATAAGGTAAATACTGCAGGCGAGGCACACAAAGCTATACGAGGGAGTGTGTGTTGCCGTCGGGATAAAGCCATTTTTTTGAGGGTTTGACATGAAACCCTCTACTATACATCTACTGTGTCATTAGCATTATGCTAGATGCTTTACCTGCTGCTGCCAGCAGCCCTGGAAAGTGGTCATGATTTCACCTCTTGAGAGGAGACCCTCAGCTATTTCTACAGTCCAAGATGAGGGAGGGTGTTTTCTGCCAATGGCAGATGTGACTGAGGTTTGGGAGAATAGCCCGCAATGTGTCTGTGTCAGGCCATGTCTGCTAACAGGTATGTGCTTATCATCAAGGCATCACTTCTTAAAACACAGCCAAAGTGTTAGCAGTTAGCAGTAGTCCCCATTATCCATGGGGAATGTGATGCGAGACCCCCGGTGCATGCCTGACTCTGCAGGTAGTACCAAATCCTATTAATACTATGGTTTTTCCTCATGCCCATGATAAAGTTTGCTATATAAATTAGGCACGGTAACAGATTAACAACAATAACGTAGTAGAACAATTATAATAATATACTGTAACAAAAGTCATGTGCATGTGGTCTCTCTCTCTCAAAATACCTAGAATTTTCCATTTAATGTTTTTGGACCATGGTTGACTCCAGGTAACTGAAACCACAGAAAGTGAGACCATGAATAAGGGGAGTCTTCTGTAGTCTCAGAATTCCCCCAGGAATATCTTGCCCCACGGAAGCACTGTTCCCTCTGGACCAGGAGCGTCACCCAGTGGTGAAGATGGCTTTTACTACCTCTGAGGGAACCCTGCACCCCTATTTCAGAGCCACTGGGCATCAGAACACGCGGCAGGGGTGAGAGCAGGTCTTAGGTCCTCACCCCAGCAAGTCCAGTACACAGCAGGCTCCCAGGCACTGTGGATTCGGGCTGTCAGGGCATGGGGTCGAGCCTCCTAATCATCTGTGGTCAAAGATCAGATTTTCTTTCCTATTTTTCATTTCGGACGGGAATTTGGTAAAATCCAGTAAAAATAGAAAAGTGAAGTGAAAAATACAAATATCACAATCCCATTTTTATTATCAGATTCTACAGACACGAAGTCACTATGTCAAACTGCTGTGAGATTTTAGAGCTCTCTGTTTCTGGGCTTCTCTCGTCACCCACCGTGAACCGAAAGAACAGCCGGTTTGCGGAGCACATTTAAGGAGCCCTGGTCTAATGGACTGGCAGGTAAAAGGAACCAAGAGACTTCTTGAGAAAGAGTTCACCTGAAGGTAGACAGGATCGAGGTGCATGTTTTATTGATGAATTACGGACATCTGTAACGGGTGATTCTGAGCACATTCTTGTCTATTGCTTCGACACTTGGCAAAGCCTTAAGGGTTTTTTTCACTAGAGTCAAGGGACAGACACTAATACTGTGTCCCATTTACAGCTGTGAAGATGGCACCCTTAGCTTTCAGCAGCCTCTAGGCCCCCTTATTTTCTGTCAGCAGCAGCAGCAGCAGCAATGGCCAGAGTTGGGGGACAAAGGTCATTGCAGAGAACAGGAACAAGAGCAAATGAGATTGGCGGGTGCCATGTGGCAGACGGGTTTCAGGAGTACGCGTAAAGGGTTCTGTGGGGACTCCCCGAAATATCTGGAGGACATTTAAGAGAGACTGGATTTTCCGCAGAAGCAGCAAGGAAAATGGTGGTCCAGTGGGCTCCAGAACCTGTGGTCATTACCCCAGTGTCAGAACGCAACACTAGTATAGACACCCGCAGCAACTGGCAAAATACCCACGTTGGTTTTCTGAGATGTGGTAAGAAAGGACGAATGTAAGCCACTGGAGTTGCCTCTACCTAGGAAGATAGTAAACCAAAAGCAATGGAGGGATTTCGGAGATTAGTGCCACGATCAACACTGGAAGGATGCAAGGGTGGTGATCTTCATTCAGCCCACCTATCTGACCTGTGCAGAAAATAGAGGACTCCTGGAGAACAAGAATGGATTATCACACACTTAACCAGGTGGTGAATCCACTTGCAGCAGCTGTTCCAGATGTGAGCCCATTGCTTGGACAAGTTAACACGGCCCCTGATATCTGGTATACAGACATTGATCTGGCAAATGTTGTTTTTTTCCTGATACCTATTGGTAAAGAGTGTCAGAAGCAGTTTATCTGGCAAGGCCAGCAATATACCTTTCACTCTCCTACCTCAGAGGTCTATGTTCTCCAGCACTATGCTGCGATTCAGTCCACGAAGACCTTGACCACCTTTACCTTCTACAAGACAGGTCCGCTGCATTGATGACATTACACTGATTGGACATAGTGAGCAAGAAGTAGCAACTGCTCTAGACTCATTTGTAAGACATCTGTGTGCCTGAGGGTGGGAAATAAATCAAGCAAAAAATTAAGGGCCTTCTATCTCACTGAAGTTTTAGGGGTTCAGTGGTATGGAACAGGTCAACTATCTTTGATAAAGTACAGGTTAACTTGATGCGTCTGGCTTCTCCCACCACCAAAAAAGCAGCACAATACCTAATGGGCCTCTTTGGGTTTTGAGGACAATATATTTCTCGTATTGCTCATGGAATTCATTGGACTTACCATGTTTCCCATCATCCTGAAGCCGCTGGCCTGGTAGAATGGTGGAATGGCCTACTGAAGACTCACTATTGTACTATCTGGGTGTCAGGGCTGGGGCAATGCGCTCCAGGAAGCTATGTATGCTCTAAATCAGTCTTTAATATATGGTGCTATTTCTCCCATAGGTTCAAGAATCAAGGGGTAGAAATATACGTGGCACCACTATTAACCCTAGTGACCTTTTGGGCTGTCCCCACATTCTTAGGCTGTGCTGGTCTAGAGATTTTGTGACAAAGGGAGGAATGTCTCCACCAGAGGACACAATTCCATTAATCTGGACATTAAGACTGCTACTCAGTTACTTCGGGCTTCTTACCCCTCCAAATCAACAGGCAAAAAAGGGAATTACTGTGCTGGCGGGGGTGATTGATCCGGATTACTGAGGGGAAATTGGGCCATTACTGTACAATGGAGGTAAGGAGGAGTATGTCTAAAATACAGATCTCCTAGATCTTACTACCACCAAGCCCTGTAACTAAAGTCATTGGAAAGCTATTTAACTTCAATTCAGGCAGGACAACTAATGACCCAAATTCTTCCAGAACTAAGGTTTGCATTACCCTACCAGGCAAAGAGTATGACCAGCTGAAGGGCCTGCTGAGGGCATATGGAATCAGTAATGAAAGGCAGTTATAAATACCAGCTACAACCACATACTCTGTTGGAGAAACAAGGACTGTGATTGTTATATTTTTTCCTTATTTTATGTTTATTTTGTTATATATATATATATATATATATATATATATATATACATATATATATACACACACACATACACACACACACAATAAACACACATATATGTTATGAAAGTATCTTTTTTTCCCCCCTCTCTTAGCCTCTAACATAAAATGTATCAAAAAGTGCTTAACCTTACATTATAGTAAGGACTTTACATCCTCTTCTGGGGAAAGGGATAACATGTTTCAGTTGTATGCTGAATAGTTGTATGTTACACAGATGTATGATGTGATTGTTGTCATTATTTGGAATTAAATATGGTTTAAGATGTGTACAGCTGCCAAGATGACAAGGGTAAACAGTGAAGGTTGTGTGTCAGCGTGGCTAGGCTAACCTATAGCTCAATGGAACATGAGTATAGATGTTGCCATTAAGGTACTTTATACATGTGCTTGACATTTACAGTACACTGAATTTATTTATTTATTTATTTATTTATTTATTTATTTATTTATTTATTTATTTATTTATTTTTTTATCCTCAACCGAGGACATTTTTCCATTTTTTGTTCAGATAGAGCGGGAGGGAGAGAGAGGAAGAGAGAGAGAGAGAAACATCGATGTGAAGGGACACATCGAGTGGCTGCCACCCGTACGACCAAGCAGGGCCGGGGACAAACTGCAACCGAGGTACGTGCCCTTAGCGGGAACCGAACCCCGGTCTCTCTGTACCGCAGGTCGACGCTCCAACCGCTGAGCCAAACCGACCAGGGCAACAGTACACTGAATTTAAATGAAAGAGATTATCCTCCGGGCCTCATCCAATCAGTTGAAAGGCATTAAGAACAAAACGTAGGTTTCTAAGAAAAAGAAATTTTGACAAAAGACTGTAGTTTCAGCTCCTGCCTGAGATTTTCCAGCCTTCTAGCCTGCCTTACAGATTCTGCATTTGCCAGTTCCCACAATCATGTAAACCAGTTCCTTGAAATAAATCTTATACATATATATTCTACTGGTTGTTTCTTTGACAAACCTTGACGGATACAACATTCTGCTCCAAATACCTCATCGCCATTTTATTATGAAGTTTGTTGCCAAAATATTTTATTATTTTTAAATAGTTAAAAATTCAAGAAGTTTAATAAAATTTATGGTGAAAGGCTGATTTCTGGGATCCCTGTCCCCCAGGTACCTAGTCCACTCATTGTGGGTTAGCAATGTAACCAGGTTGTGGATATACAGAGATACTCTATCATATACAAGCAAATATAAACACACACACAAACACATATATTTTATCTTATATATAACTGTAATATACAATACCCAGTTCCACATGCTTTTTTCAATAAACGTGTCTTAGAGATCATTCCATCTCAGTACCTATAGTCTTCATTTTTTCTTCCATTGGGCAAATGCAGTAATTTATTTAGCCAATCCTGATTAGAGTGACCATGTAATTTCTTTATAAAATGGGACACTTGAGTTAAAAGCTCTGATAATTTATACCATGAAAAGCAAGTATAATTTGGTACTGTTAAAAACAAAACAAAAAGAACAGAACATACGGTCACCTTACCTATGATGGGTATCTAGGTTGCTTCCAATCCTGTTTTATTAAGCAGATTACAATGAATAGACTTGTAAACATGTAATTTTCTATGTGCCCTTATGCATCAGTAGGATAAATATCTAGAATTGGAATTGCTGGCTGTGATGGTTAATTTTGTGTCAACTTGAATGGCCCTGGGGTAGCCAAATTAAATATTTTGTGTCCGTGGATTCTGTTTCTCTGGAGAATTCTGGTATTTGCAAGTTTGCTGGAGATTGCTCAACTGTCCCCCATAAAGGAGCATAAAAATTTTCACTTTTATCAGCAGAATGTAAGAAATACTGGATTTACTTGTTATTGAATAATCTTTTCCCCATTGACTTATGATGCCCTCTTTATGTTTTAAGTCCTCATATGTATGTACTAACGTCTATTCCTGAGTTGGTCTGTTCCATTGATCTCTCTAGGTATACACCTAATTTAGTTTTATACCACCTTTCCAAAACTTACAGATTTTCAATTTATTATACCCCTTTGAATAGAAATTTTAATAGTAGTATTTGCTGTACAAAGGTTAAGCACCTCTATTTTTATTTATTTTTTAATTAGTAAAACATTTTAATCTTGCCATAATTGCAGACTCCCCTATTCCCTCCACCCTCTTTGCCCACCTCCACCTGTCCCTGCCTCCCCTTCTTCTGGCCATCGCCACACTGCAGTATTGTCCATGTCCATGGGATATGCATATCTGTTCTTTGGCTAATCCCTTCACATTCTTTATCCAGTGAAATCTCTATTTATTATAGTTTCCTTTTCTGGTGTTTTTTAGATACATATTTATTACCTGCAACTAAAATTTTGGTTATCTCATTTGTAAAAGACCTTCTTATTTTATGAATCACTACATTGGCAAAAATCTGGACATTACTAAATAATCCAGATAATGGGAATTCTGGATTTTAATGGGTATGTCTAATGCTCCATTAGGTTGCAACAATTAACTATGTATGGTTCCCTGCAGGTAAAGCATCTCTCTTACATCTACTTCTTAGTTAAGGTTGCTGTTCTTGCCCCATTTAGAAGTTCCTATTCTCTCTCAAAATAAAGCAGAATCTAATGCTAAATAAATAAAAGCCCCTATTCTGTTTCGAGAGCATCCTTTGTCACAGCATTTCACATTTCATTTTTTGAACTGTAAATTCTTTAAAGGCAGGTCGCACGATTTTGTCTCCATTTGCATAGGATGAAAGGAGGGAGGGGGAGTGCGTGAAAGAAGCAAGCACAGTGCCTGGCCCATTACCTCAGTCCACAATTCCAGGAACCACATTCGCACACATTCCATGCAAAATGCACTCCTGAAGCACAGAAATATGATGTGAATTGTGCTCCTTAGAATTCTACAATGTGGTAGTTCTGGAGAATGGCACACAGGTCCTCAAGTCTGACTGTCAAAGAACCCAGGAGGAAATTAACAACCTCAAATGACAGACTGCATTCCTGAATATACAGGGGATATTCTAGAAGTATGATACAATTTCATAGAGATTAAATGAGGCTCTTGAATATTTATTTTCCAACTGACAGTTTATGCTAGGTAAAACTATCTCCAAACCCATATCCACAAGAAACACTCACTACTTATCGATGTGGTTGAAGACAGTGAATTAAGTAATACCTTTAAACTTTGAAAGTAGTCTGAGGAGTAAAAATTACATAGTGCTCAAAGTGTACTTTTAAAAATACTATTTTATTTATACTCATGTATTGAAAAAAAAATGGCTGTAATACCATGTTTACATATATACCAATATTGGAAACGGAGTTCAATGATGAATCACATCTAAATTTTATAAAGAACACAAACATTAAAACAATGATTGGTTATAGAAAGCAGAGTGGGGTGCATTAGCTATTGTTTTCATTAAATAGCAGCACCCTCTGAGAAGAATCAAATCAATTAGCAATATTAACCTATACTGTAAAACAATATATACACAGGGAAGTTAGTGATTGTACTGATTTTATTACTTTACTAAGCCGTTTTATCGTCCCCACACTCAATGCAAAGAAATAAAACACCATGAAAAAAAGATATCCTCATTATTATTCACAATAAAAAGAATCTGCTTCGTTCTGCACGCCTGGCAGAATGTAAAGAGAGAGCACTTCATGGCTCAAGTGGATCAACATACTAGTTTGATTCTGACCCACCAAATAGCATCTCACGCTGATTTGGTGACTGGATTAACTCCATGGGAGCTGTGATAAACTGAACCATTTCTGTGGTATCCCCAGATCTCAGTAAATAAGACTTATACAAGAAAAGATACTCTGTCCATAAACTGTCTCTACATACTTTTTCTTTAGTGTAAGGTAGAAAAGGGACCCTTTCTTGAGTACATAGATACAAGTATTGTTGTGGTCTCGAGATTGCTAGATTGATATTGTGTCTGCTATAATGAAGATAAGGTAGACATCAAAACCACTGTTAGATTAAGAAACTTCTACAACTTGTCTCAATTCTTCAAATAATGGAGCCAGTTCCTTTTCTAGGCTGACAATTAGTCCTAAAACAAAGAGAGTAAGAAAATTAGCACATTAGAAAAAATGTTCCTGAAAAAGTCTCTGACTTAAATTCCCTTTTGTTGAAATTGTTACTGAAAAGTAAACGAGACATAATGTATTTCCCATAACTAAAATAAATATTCTAATTCAAAGTAAAGTAACCAAAAAAACTCATATTCACAATGAAGAAGTTTACATATACTTCCATGTTTAAAAGAAAGTTCAACAATGAATCTGGAAGACAACCCAGTGTAGAAATTTAGCATATCTAGCTTCTCCTTAGTTTACCAGAGTGAAAGGCTATATATTTTAGACACTGCTTACTTTATGTTCAAATAAATAAGGATCTTCCTCTGTCTCACAGAATATTAAAAGCATCTGGGGTTCTCAAGGAAATATTTTAAGTATTAAAATATAATTCTGTACATCATCATAATTTATAACAACCAATGGTTTAGTATGTGATGGTGATTTATTACAACTGAGGTTTAATATACTTAAACACTGACACCACTACTATCCTACACAGGGGTGGGCAAAGTAGGTTTATAGTTGCAAGTACACAAGAATTCATTCTTGTATTATTTATTAATTATTGTATTACAGCTGTAAACCTACTTTTGCCCACCCCTGTATAATTCACAAAGTGTTTTCACATATATATTTTACTGCTTCAAAACATTTAGAAATGGAAGAGACTAGATTATCAAACCTAAACCCCTCATTTTAAAGATCAGGAATCTAAGGACTGGTTTCAGTGACACAGATGGAAATAGAACTTGCTCAAACAGCTTGGAAAGAAAGAAAGAAAAAAAAAAACAGAACAGGAATCTATAACAGTTCTAAATAGCAGTCAAATCTGAAGAAGATAGACCTTAAAAAAAAAATAAAAAAAAAAAAATAAAAAAAAAAAAAAAAACCCACAGCCCTGGCTGGTTTGGCTCAGCAGTTAGAGCGTCAGCCAGCGGACCAGAGAGTCCTGGGTTCAATTTCCGCTAAGGGTACATACCTCGGTTGCAGTTTGGCCCCAGTTGGGGTCATGTGGGTGGCAACCCCTCGATGTGTTTCTCTCACATCGATGTTTTTCTCTCTCTCTCTTCTCCCCTCTCTCCCTCCTGCTCTATTTGAAGATAAATGCAAAAAAAAAAAAAGTCCTCAGGTGAGGATAAAAACAAACAAAAAACCAAATCACACACACACACCCTTCATTCCAAAGGAGTAAAAAAATACAATTGAACTGAATACTGTTCCTTTACACATAGATACACACGGAAGGCTACTGAATATAATGGGATCTTACTATCTGCTTTGGAAAGTACAACTTACTAATGTTTATTCTCTATTCTTCAATTCTCAAGAGATTGTGATTATGTTCATCCCATTCACAGTCTTCACAGTCACCTTGTTCACTATCATTCAAGATTTAAATAATTCTCATAGATTGGTCTATATGGAATTTAACTCATCCTTGACCATTTGGTTTGTTTTGTTTGGTTCTCTACTCTGTTTTCTAAAGCTGTGTTAATGTGAGCAAGACGTAGCATTCAATAGGTAAAGATAACATTTCATTTTCTTTCTTATCTCAAAGAGTAACTCATCCACACAAGCAGATATTAGCTCCACTGTACAGAATGTACAGATATGAAAAACAGAGAAGTTACTTTTCTGGAAAGCAAAGACTAGACTGTGGACCTGGCCCACAAATTCAGGGGTTTTTTTTTTTACCCTAAATCTACTCCTATCATATTAGACTGCTCAGATATGGTATTATAAACAATTAAAAGCTGCATTTCAAGTAATTAAAACACACCTGTATTGGCATTGCTGCTGGCTATGAAACTCACCACCAAAGGTAAACGATTAAATTGAACCACCTAAAAAGAAAATAAGATCTAAATACTATGTTGTGTTGTGAAAAGGCAGTATAATTCAATGAACTATCTTAACCTTTCAAAAAACTTTTAAATGGTTAATGTGTAAGATACTAGCCCAACATCATGGCATTACATCATAAAATATGAAAGAGCTGAAAACAATTATTTCCATAAAACAGACTTAACTGATTTTCACTTAGAAACAATACCATTTAGCCTGGCAAGTTTTTAAGATGGGACTGTATCTTCATCTTTTTATCCAGCAGAGTGTCAATTATATAGTAAGAGCTCAATAAAAAGTTAATAATTAAATGGCTAAAGGAAGTATTTCTCAGTCACTTAAGTAGTTGTATCATCATGAATTTTCTGCTTCCTATGTACCGATATAGTTTAAACAAATTTAAATTAACTTTAAATCAATTATCTTTAACTTAACTTCAATCTAATCCACACCAGTCAAGTTAAAGGTCAAATGGGTTGGTTATCTTTTGCCCAAAACACATTAAAATATACAACTTAAAAAAAAAAAATGTTTCTTGTGTATCATCAGTAGTATATAATTCCTACTTTGGTAAGCACTGCTCTAAAAAACAAGTGATTAATTTATTCTAAAAAAAATATATAAAGCTGGAGCCCTGGCCAGTTTGGCTCAGCGGTTAGAGCGTCAGCCTGCGGTCCAGAGAGACCGGGGTTCGGTTCCCGCTAAGGTCAAGTACCTCGGTTGCGGTTTGTCCCCAGCCCTGGTTGGGTCGTGCGGGTGGCAGCCACTCGATGTGCACCTTTCACGTCGATTTCTCTCTCTCTCTCTCTCCCTCCCACACTATCTGAACAAAAAATGGAAAAATATCCTCAGGTGAGGATAAAAAAAAAATATCTATATATATATGTACATATATATATACACACAGCTGGAGATCATGAACTATGTAGCAACTAATTTCTTTCCCACAATTAGGAAACTCACTTATTTTATATATATGCATGTATATATTATATGTAATAATATGTATCCTCCAAACCAAATATAGAAATTAGCTAAAATAACAAATTTAAATAATGTATCATTTGACTTTCAAGACAAATGTGTATATGCCTCAACAACACAGTGTCTGAGAAATCAGTTATTTAACTAAGGGCACCATCTACTGGAGGTAAAAGTAACATGACTTACCCTTTTCAGGATAGCGTGTACTTTATTACATCTTTTTAAACTACTTTTGTATAGTAATTAACTCCTGGAGTAAAATGTGAAGGAAATCACTATAGTTTAATATAACCAACTTGAAGGCTAAGAATTTAAAATTCCACCCATTTTAAAACTCAAATTTAGAATGACAACACAAGCTATTTAATACAGAACACAATTATAGTTGAAATCACCAAATCATTCGACAGTTATTAACTTACCTGATAGGTATTATAGTAACAAATGATACTTTTATTTTTTGAAAGTCCAAGTTTGCTGCCTTGGTCTGTTGCAAGGGCAAAAGTAGATAAGAAACCAGGTCTCAAAGCGTGCTCTGGAGCATTATCATTGGCCACTGGAAATACAAATGATTTACATAAAAATTATGCAGTGGACATGGAAGAAAGATTTACAACACCTTTCTAAAACATATATCTATAAAAATATCAAGCATGCTCTGGCTGTTCTGTTCAGAGGTTAGAGCGTTGGTCTGCAGACGTAAGAGTCTCGGGTTCGATCAAGGGCACATACCTCAGTTGCAGGTTCCATCCCTGGCCCTGTTGGGGTTGTGTGAGAGGCGGCCAATCGATGTGTCTCTCTTCCTCCCTTTCGCCCTCTCACTAAAAATCAATGAAAAAATATCCTCGGGTGAAGATTAAAAAAAAAAAAAAGTCAAAGGAGAAAAATCTTAACAAAAGTAAACTAATAAAAACTGCAAAAAAAAAAAAAAAAGCCCAGCCAGTGTGGGTCACTGGTTGATCATCAATCCATGCACCAAGTGGTCACCAATTCAATTCCCAGTCAGGACACATGCCCAGGTTATAGGCCCAATCCTCAGTGGGGGGCATGAGGGAGGCGGTCAATCAATGTTCTCTCTCATCGTTTCAATCTCTTTCTCCTTTCCTCTCTATAAAATGAATAAAAAACAAAACAAAACTATTTTTTAAAAAAATCAAGAGTTCTGCTCTCAGTACTTAAAATCATATCACTAATTGGGTCTCATCAATTTAGGTGTAAAAAACTGATCAGAAGTTGAGTGATTGATCATAACTAAGGGAAAAAAATGAATCTCACAATATTTTCTTATTTTTTAAAAGAATACTAAATGTTTATATTTCTTTAAAGTCTACCTACCTTAAGACAGATTAATCAGTACATTTATATATATATACACACATATATACACACATATATATATTTTTTATTGATTTTGGAGAGAGGAGGGAGGAAGGGAGGGAACCACTGATTTCTTGTTCCACTTATTTATACATTCATTGGTTGCTTCTTGTGTGTGCCCTATCAGAGATTAAACCTGCAACACTGGTGTATCAGGACAACACTCTAACCAACTGAACTACCTGGACAGAGAAATCAGTACATTTAATAAACTGAATATTCTGGTTAACTGACAGTCAAGCTAAAACTAAAATGTCTTCGGAAAACTTTGCTGTCATAAAACCCACAGCAGTATTACTTGTAGATATGAATAGTTCTGCAGCTGGCCCTCTATTTTCCTTCACTCACTAAAGTCATGGAGTTTGTTGTGCAAGCGTAAGGCTTTAACACAGAGATCCTCAGAAAGAACATTAGAGCTGGCAAATCTCTAACATTATTTTGTTTAAAGGCTTCATTACAGAACTAAGAAAAGGCAAGTGACTAACCCATAGCCACTTATGTTTTATGGTAAGTTAGAAAGTACACTGGACCACACATGAAATGCTGGGTTCTGATATTATTTTATCACTGACTTACACTGCAACTTTGGAATGACAATGTACTCTTTTTTTTTATCCTCACCTGAGGACATTTTTGCATTTATCTTCAGATAGAGCAGGAGGGAGAGTGGGAGAAAGAAAGGGAGAGAAACATCGATGTGAGAGAGACACATCGACTGGTTGTCACCCACACGACCCCAACTGGGGCCAGGGACAAACTACAACAGAGGTACGTACCCCTTAGCGGGAACCAAACCTGGTACTCTCTGGTCTGCAGGCCAATGCTCTAACTGCTAAGCCAAACTGGCCAGGGTGACAATGTACTCTTTACACTTCACCATCTTCATTTATAAAACAACAGAACTAAAAAATTAACTGATTTCTAAACTTTCTTTCAGCTCTACAGTCTAATACCTAATATATATGATAAACCCAGGTGAAAAATAAACTGACAACAAAATGTACAGAACATTATTTAATCTATCCTTGGTAAAGTTATTAGTGTCCCAGTACAACTATATACATCCATTCAGATGATACCAGACAGTAGTAAAAATGTTCCTAATATATACTGTGACATAATATACAGTTAAGAAAAAGGCTGAAATCAGGTAAAACTTTTATTTTAGGTTAGCAAGCTCTTCTTTAGGTAAAAAAAAAAATCCTTGTTAGATTTGTTAACTAAAGTAAATGGAGTTAAAGTTTTTAAAAATCTTATTTCCAGTAAAGTAGAAAATCAAGAAAGATGAAATAAAAACAAACAATACATGTTAATTCAAATGTATGGATGTTTAACCTAAAACTATTTTTTTTTTTTTTTTTATCCTCACCCGAGGATATTTTTCCATTTTTTGTACAGATAGAGTGGGAGGGAGAGAGGAAGGGAGAGAGAGAGAGAAACATCGATGTGAAAGGGACACATCGAGTGGCTGCCACCCGCACGACCAACCAGGGCCGGGGACAAACTGCAACCGAAGTACGTGCCCTTAGCGGGAACCGAACCCGGGTCTCTCCGGACCGCAGGTCGACGCTCTAACCGCTGAGCCAAACCGGCCAGGGCTAACCTAAAACTATTGATAAAATATATACATGGGAGAGGGGGCTGTGTGTATAATGTATCTAGCTGCATACACTTAGATTTACTAATGGTTTATATTTTACCATAAAATGTCTTTAATGGGAAACTGGGCCTGTAATTAAATCCATGCTTAAGCTCTGAATGGTAACAAGATACATTTAACATGTAGTAAGTTATGTTTCAACAAAGCCTTCAACATACAAAAGCAAACATTCCCCCACAAATTAAGACCATCTCCTAAATTTACTGAAACAGGTTTTACATGCTTGCTTCTACACTACTCAGATATAAATACATTTTTATTCTAAAGCAAACATGACACTGGCATGTTAAGTGCTCAGTTTTACCTTTAATAACAGGCACTCCGTCTCTGTCTGACACAACAATAGCGTGGAGCCCTTCAACACTAGAAAGGGAAAAAAAGTTTTATCATAAAATATTTCACTTTCTAAAACATGTACTTCAAAGTCAGAATAGTAATTTTCATGCATATTTCTGTAAAACCATGGAAACTCAATTCTTGACAGCATAAGCTAGGTTTGCTAAAACTCTTCCAGAAACTGAAAGAGTACCACTGACATGCTTATGTAGTTTAGATGAAGAGCTAAAACATAGCTGATTCTCCATTAAAATTGCTAATTACTCTATGGTTTACAAAAGTATGAAAGGTTATCAGCAGTGGATACAGTGGCAAAGCCAGACTTTTTCTTTCACTCAATCTAATAACAAGTGCCCACTATTTGTGACATTGAATATTTATAATATCATGCTAAGCAAAAATAAACACAGTCATTGCCTTCACAAATCTTACAATCTAAAGAGAGTGGCTATCAATCAAATAATCTCATACTAACAAATATAATACTACAGCTGTGGCAAGTGCCATTAAGTAATCTGTGAGGATATGAGAGCCTTTATGAGGGAGTTATTTAGACAGGTGGGTTGGGGAAGGCTTCCCTGAGGATAGCTCAGTTTATATGCTATGGCACTGATTAAGAGAAGGGCAAAAAGACTTCTAAGCCAAAAGAACTGGATGGGAAGAATGAAGGTCATGCAGCAATCCTTTCAGCCATGCCTACATAAAGAGCAGGAAGGAGAATGGTTAGGACTATGCCTCTGAAGTTAAAAAGACTGGGGGGAAGGGGAGGGTGGGGAGAATGTTCCATCCAGGCTCACCTACTTACTATTCATGCTACTGTGGGCCAGTTATAAAACCTCTCTAAGCCTCAGTTAACAATCTGAAAATGAGGATAAGTGTACTTTTTGGCTATTGTGAAATGCAATAAAATAATACATGTAGAGGCTGGTACATAGTTTACATTAAAAATATTAATTATTATTAATATCAGAATATCATCTGTGTACTCTGACAATGACAAAATTTATCACTGCAGTTTAAGTAGTAATTAGTGAGAATTCCTAGAGCACAAAAGTATAGTGTTAAAAATTATGAGGAAACATTCTCAAACATTTAATATTTATGCAAAACCTAGACCCTTGTAACTATCTTGTAACATGTAGGCTGCATCTCAGAAATCTGCTCACTGTTCCTACTATATAACCCAGAATTATCCATTCCTTATTGTGTTAACCTTAATATTTTAACTTAGAAATGAAGAATATTCACATTAACTTAAGATATTAAAATTATATTTTCAAAATCTCACTGTCAAAAATGTTTAAGTCAGAGAAGTGTTACTGCAATTTGAAGAGAAAATGTTACAAACAAAGCTATTTATCTGTCTCACATTAAAAATAAGAATAATGAAAAAATTGTGTATATTTACTAGTATTATTTGCTATTATCATTCAATCCTAAAATTATCTATGGATTGAAACATGCCCTATATGATTAACACATAAAACAATATATTCTTCTAAGTTAAAAACTAGGTTATATAAAAATACATTCTACTGATATTTAGACACCTACACATCACTTTGTGCAGTTATTGATAGCACCATCTCTTTAAATAGAAAAAGATTGGAAACCTAACTACCCATCAAAAGGAACAAGTTAAGTAAGTTGTGACACACATATATAACGGAATACTCTGCAGACATAAAAAAACAAAGCAGCTCTTTATGTACTGGAAGGATTGATCTCAAAGTTATAGATGTTAAGTGAAAAAAACACATGGTTTTGAATAGTGGCTACAAGAAGCAACTTATATAACATATTTAGGCATACGTGTATATGTGTTGCAATAGATTAAACGTTTGTCGTCCCGCCTCCCCCACTTCATATATTGAAACTCTAATCCCAATGTGATGGTATTTGGAGGTGAGGCCTTGGGAGGTAATAAGGCCATGAGGGGGGAGACCTCTTGAATGTACTTAGTTCGATTATAGAGGCTTGAAAGCTAGCTACTCCTCCTTCCCTGTGTGAGAATATAAGAAATCTACAACCCAGAAGAGGGCCTTCACCAGAACCCAACCCTGATCTCAGACTTCCAGCCTCAGGAACTAGGAGAAATAAACTTTGGTCATTTACATATAAGAAATATCTGATCTATGGTACTTTGTTACAGCAGTCTAAATTGAGACCTATACGTATACACATATATGTATACATACTAACATACATATTTGCCTGTAGGAAACACTGGGTGCCTATGACAGGAGAACTACATGGATGAAGGGCAATAATGGGAAACTTCTCCCTCTATGTCCTTCAATTAACTTTAGTATATTGAACTTTATAAATGTACTGCCTACTCAAAATATAAGCAAATTGAAAAATAGGTAAGAGTACTACAAAAATATTTTGTTACCATAGGTAGCTTCATTTTTCTTTTCATGGCAATTAAGTTAAATGCCAAGTAATGCAACAAAAGAGGAAGTAGAAATAAAAAGACATTTTTAATGGATTTCAAATTCACAGAGATAACTGTCCAACAAAATAGAAAAATTACTCACATACTTAAAGAACCATTTAAACAAATCAGGTCACAAATATAAAAGCCGTTTCCCTTTCTACACATAGTCAACAGAAAATAATGTGAATAGATTTTTACTAATAATTAAAAATAATTGTGAGAACTGAGACTAGCCTTCAGAAAAGTCCAACCAGCAGAGTAGAAGAAGCTGAGGACCAGATCAGTGAATTAGAAGACAGGTTAGAAAAAAATCAACCAATTAAAAAACAGGAAGATAGCTTAAGAGAATTGTGGGTCAAATGGAAATGTAATAACATTCGCATTATAGGAGTCCCCAAAGAGGAAGAAAATGGGCGAGGGTTGGAGAATATATATGAAGAAATAGTGACAGAAAACTTTCTTAACTTGGTGAAGGAAGAAGGCATTCAAGTTCAAGAAACACAGAGAGTCCCAAGTAAGAAGAACCCAAACAGGCCCACACCAAGACACATAGTAATTAAAATGCAAAAAATTAAAGACAAAGAGAGAATCCTAAAGGCAGCAAGAGATAGGCAACAGGTTACCTACACAGGAAACCCCATAAGGCTCTCAGCTGACTTCTCAGCAAAAACACTACAGGCCAGAAGGGAATGGCATGAGGTAATCAAGGTCATGAAAAACAAGGATCTGAATCCAAGACTACTCTATCCAGCAAGGCTATCATTCAAAATAGAAGGTCAAATAAAGAGCTTCCCAGACAAAAAAAAAAAGGCTAAGGGATATATTAACACTAAACCAGCACTGTAAGATATGCTAAAAGAACTGCTGTAATTAGTAGAAAAAATAGAAAGAAAAATATAACCACACTAAACAAAAATGGCAATAAATAAGCACATATCTATTATCACCATAAATATGAATGGTTTGAATGCTCCGATAAAAAGACAGAGTAGCTGACTGGATAAGAAAGCATGACTCACATATATGTTGTTTACAAGAGACTCACCTCACAATAAAAGACTCACATAGGTTGAAAGTGAAGGGATGGAAAAAAATCTTTCAAGCAAACAGAAAGCAAAAAAAGCTGGGGTAGCAATACTTGTATCTGGTAAAGTAGATTTCAAAATGAAGGCCTTAACTAGAGACAAAGAAGGTCACTACATAATATTGAAAGGATCTATTCAACAGGGAGATCTAACCTTGGTAAACACATATGCACCCAATATAGGAGCACCAACATATATTAAAAATCTTCTGGAGGACTTCACAGGAGAAATCAACAGCAATACAATCATAGCAGGGGACCTCAACACCTCGTTGACATCACTGGATAAATCATCTAGACAAAAAATTAACAAGGAAACACAGACTCTAAATGAAGCGCTAGATCAAATGGATTTCATAGATATCTACAGAGAATTACAACCCCAAAGTGCAGAATTCACATTCTTCTCAAGTGCACATGGGACATTCTCAAAGAGAGACCACATGTTAGGGCACAAACTAAGTCTCTACAAGTTCAAGAAGATTCAAATGATATCAAGCATCTACTCAGATCACAATGGCATGAAACTAGAAATTAATCGCAACAAGAACAAGCAAAGACATTTGAGAACATGGAAGTTAACTAGCATGTTACTGATCAATAAATGGGTTACCATGGAGGTCAAGAAAGAAATTAAAAACTTCCTGGAAACCAATGAAAATGAACACACAACAACACAAAATCTATGGGATGCAGCAAAAGCAGTTCTGAGAGGGAAGTTCATAGCACTACAGACCTACCTCAAGAAGCAAGAAAAATTTCTAATAGACTATCTAACCTCACAACTTAAAGAACTAGAAAGCAAACAAAAAGAAAACCCCAGAGCAAGTAGAAGGAAGAAAATAGTAAAGATGAGAGCAGAAATCAATGACATGGAGACAAAAAAAAAAAATCAAAGGATCAATGAAACAAAGAGATGGTTCTTTCAAAACATAAACAAGATTGATGGACCCTTAGCTAGACTTACAAAAAAAAAAAGAGAGAGAACCCAAATACACAAAATCAGAAATGAAATAGGAGAAATAATAACTGATACCACAGAAATATAAAGGATAGCTAACAAATATTATGAACAATTATACAACAAATTCGACAATCTAAGAGAAATGGACAAATTTCTAGAAACACAGAGTCTCCCAAAATGGAACCAGGAAGAGATAGAAAACTTGAACAGATCAATAACAACAAAAGAAATTGAAGATGTAATCAAGACTTTCCCAGCAAACAAAAGCCCAGGCCCGGAAGGCTTCATGGGGGAATTTTACCGAACATTCTAAGAAGAACTAATACTCATTCTCCTCAAACTATTTCAAAAAATTCAAGAAGAAGGAAGACTTCCAAACTCGTTTTATGAGGCCAGCATAACTCTAATTCCAAAACCAGAAAAAGACACTACTGTAGAAAGAAAACTATGGGCCAATATCCACGATGAACATAGATACCAAAATCCTGAAAAAATACTAGCAAATCGAATCTAGCAATACATCAAAAAAATTATTCACCATGACCAAGTGGGATTCATTCCAGGGATGCAAGGCTGGTACAATATTCACAAACCATTAAATGTGATACACCACATAAACAAAATGAAAGATAAAAATCACACGATCATATCAATAGACGCTGAAAAAGCACTCGACAAAATCCAACACCCATTTCTGATAAAAATGCTCAGCAATCTGGGAATAGAAGGATCATATCTCGACATAATAAAGGCAATATATGAAAGACCCACAACCAACATCATACTCAGTGGGCAAAAACTAAAAGCATTTCCCTTAAGAACAGGAACAAGACAAGGATGCCCACTTTCAACACTCTTATTTAACATAGTACTGGAAGTCTTAGCAACAGCAATTAGACAGGAAGACAAAATAAAAGGGATCCAAATGGGAAAGGAGGAAGTGAAACTGTCATTATTCGCAGGGGATGTAATATTATACAGAGAAAACCCCAAAGACTTCATCAAAAATCTAGATATAATAAATGAATTTAGCAAAGTAGCAGGACACAAAATTAACATCAAGAAATAGATGGCATTCTTATACGCCAATGATGAATTCACAGAAAGAGAAACTAAAAAACAATCCCATTTACCACTGGGACAAAAAAATTAAGATACCGAGAAATAAATTTAACCAAAGAAATAAAGGAGCTATTCACAGAAAACTACAGGTCATTGAAAAAAGAAATAGAGGAAGATATAAAAAAGTAAAAGCACATACCTTGTTCATGGATTGGAAGAATTAACATCATTAAAATTAAAATTAACATCATTAAAATTTAACATCATTAATATGTCCGTACTACCCAAAGCAATCTATAGATTCAATGCAATCCCCATCAAAATACCAACGGCATACTTCACAGAACTAGAACAAATACTTCAAAAGTTCATATGGAACCAAAAAAGACCTCGAATAGCCCCAGCAATCTTGAAAAAGAACAAAGTTGGAGGGATCACATTACCACATTTCAGGTTATACTACAAAGCCACTATAATCAAAACAGCCTGGTACTGGCACAAGAACAGGTATATAGACTAATGGAACAGAACAGAGAACCCAGAAATGGACCCAAGGCAATATGCTCAATTAATATTTGATAAAGGGGGCAAGAGCATACAGTGGAGTCAAGACAGCCTCTTTAATAAATGGTGTTGGGAAAACTCGACAGCTACATGCAAAAAAATGAAACTAGACCATCAGCTTACACCATACACAAGAATAAATTCAAAGTGGATAAAAGACTTATATGTAACTCATGAATCCATAAAATCCCAGAAGAAAATGAGGGCAACAAAATTTCAAACATCATACGCAGCAGAATTTTCACTGATACATCACCTAAGGCAACAGAAACAAAGGAGAAAATGAACACATGGGACTACCTCAAACTTAAAAGCTTCTGCACAGCAGAAGAAACCACCACCAAAATGGAAAGGCAACCCAGTCTATGGGAGAGCATAATTGCCAATGATACATCAGATAGGGGGTCAATTTCCAATATATATAGAATGCCCATACAGCTCAACAAAAGGAAGACAAAGAACCTAATTAAAAAATGGGCAGAGGAACTAAATAGACACCTCTCCAAACAGGACATACAAGTGCCTAAGAGACATATGAAGAAATGCTCAACATCACTAATCATCAGAGAGATGCAAATTAAAACAACAATGAGGTATCACCTCACACCTGTCAGAATGGCTGCCATCAACAAATCATCAAAAACGAGTGTTGGCGAGGGTGTGAAGAAAAGGGGACTCTAGTGCACTGCTGGTGGGAATGCAGACTGGTGCAGCCACTATGGGAAACAATATGGTGCTACCTCAAAAAATTAACAATTGAACTGCCATTTGACCCAGTGATCCCATTTCTAGGAATATATCCTAAGAAGCCTGAAACACTAATCAGAAAGAATATATGTATCCCCATGTTCACAGCAGCACTATTTACAATAGCTAAGATCTGGAAACCGCCCAAATGTCCATCAGTAGACAAATGGATAAAAAAGCAGTGGTACATATACACAATGGAGTACCATGCAGCTGTAAGAAAGATAGATCTCTTATCCTTTGAGATGACATGGAGGGATCAGGAGTGTATTATCCTAAGTGAAACAAGCCAAGCAGAGAAAGACAGATATCACATGATCTCACGTATTTGTGGAATATAATGAACATAACAGTTTGAGGAAAGGGGTAGTCCCAGAGACGTGGAAGTGGGGTACGGACTGACAATCCCCAGAACAGGGGGTGGGGTGGGAAGAGATAAACCACAGAACTTATATGCATGTATGCATGAACAATGGACATGGACAATATAGCTGGGAATAAGGCTGGGAGGGAGGGGGAGGGGAGTATCAGTTGGGGAAAATGGAGAAACATCTGTAACAAAAATAAATAAATTTTTAAAAATCAATAAAGAAAAAAAAAATTGTGATACATTGATAAGTATACTATATTTTTAGAATAAATTAAATTTTATAAAATATTCTGCAGAAATCTAAACCTTATGCTTACTAAAACATTTTTATTCCCAAAAGAGCAAATGTTACATTAGTAATCAAAGACATCATACTTAGTTTTGTTCATATCATGATGAAACATTTGGTTATTTTAAAGCACTAAGTTGTGACTATTTAAGCTCAAGACTGCTTGGGTCACAACTAGATTAAAAAATACAAATCCAAGAACTTTATTTAACAGAGAATTAAACAAAATCTAGCCCTTGCCGGTTTGGCTCTTTGGTTAGAGTGTTGGCCCACGGACCACAGTCTTGGGTTCGGTTCCCACTAAGGGCACGTACCTCTGTTGCAGTTTGTCCCCTGTGTGGGTGGCAACTACTCAATGTGTCTCTCTTGCGTAGATGTTTCTCTCTCTCTTCCTCCCTCTCTCCATTCTGCTCTATCTGAAGATAAATGCAAAAATGTTCTCGGGTGAAGATAAAAAAACGAAACAAACAAACAAAAAAACTAAACCACATTCCATTATATCTGTAACTGACTGACTTGGTTGAGAGGCACAGCAGCACAACCAAAGGCACGAACCCAAAGCTCTGAAGCCAGGCTGCCTCTGTCCAACCCTTAAGTTACATACATCTAGCAACAAATCAAAGTATTCTAATATTTTCTTTGTAAGTGCTCAATATTATTATTTTTCCCTTCTTTTGGCTCTTGGAATTCAATATGCCTACCTTCAGGAAGACATTATCACTGTGCTGTGTGAAATGCGCAGCCAGGGGAACTTAGTGAAGGTGGACTTATTGACATAAATGAGTAAAGTGGTAGTGACAAAAAGGATAAAGATGTCCCAGAGAAAGTGACATTGGCAAAAAACCCTGCACATTAAAGAACTCTTAGAGATATTTTACAGCACTAGACAAAATGTTGAAAGCTGATCCAAACTTCAGAGTATACTAATTTGCCACGGCATTGAAAAGCTACCTGCTTCTTATCTTAAGGATACAGCTTTCGTATTTGTTCAAGTATATGGGAAGAAGTAGGCAAACACTGTTGAAACTACTCTTGATAAGATTTTTACAAAGAAATATACTCTAATTCTCACTGTTTCTACTGCTTTAAATTCTAGTATATTAAACAAATATTAGTTTTAGTATTTGTTCCATTACCCTAAATATAACCAACAATAACAGAGGTTATGTTTTGATTAAAAACTTTAAAAAAATTTATTTTTATTTAATCCTCACCCGAGGATATGCATATTGATTTCAGAGAGGGGGAAGGGGGAGAGACAGACAGCCACCAATGTGATTGGGAAACATGGATCAGTTGCCTCTTGTGCAAGCCCTGACCTGGGACCCAACCAGCAACCTTGGTATGTGCCCTGACTGGAAACTGAGCCTACAGCCATTCCAACCAACCAAGTCACACTAGCCAGGGATTGATAAAAACATGTAAAGGTCACAAAACAATTGTAATTTTTCCTACTGAGTACCAAAATTGCTTGGGGCAGTTTCAGATTGTGTCATCACTTTTATGACACTGCAGTACTGTGCAGCTAGGAATGCCTGTATTGCTAATCATGAAGTTGAGAAAAGAATCAGCAGCTTGTGTTTAGTTTGCCAGAGAAGGAAAACTGTAAAAATAAATTTAAGTATTGCACTAACGTAAAATCAATGGTAATAAACAACTGTTTAACACCACAATAGTGTTTTCTTTCTGAATATATAAGAAAAATATAGACAAATCAAAACCAGAAGATATAATTTCTAATAGTCTGTAATCAGAGTAAAGGCACCAGTAAACAATAGCATAATATACATACAATATTAGTCTAAAATATCAAGAAACAAAATATTACATAAAATGAACATGATATGCAGAATTTATTCAATGACAAATTAAACATTTTTTACCTTGGTAGTTTTTTATACAGGAATCGCTTTAGGTCCTGAAAGAGAATATTAAAAAATCATATAATAACATGCCTTGTACTAATTCTCTAGATCCTGTCCTAGTCACATTTCAGTACCTTAAGTCATCATTCATAACCTTTCCTGTTTCTGTTTTCTTTCTCTTTCTGATTTGGCACTAGTTGTGTGACTCGAAGCAAGTTAATCCTTTTTTCCTAAGCCTCAGTTTCATTATTTGTTGAGCAGGGACAACAGCAGAAGCTAAGCTGGAAGTCTGTTTTTTAAAGTTTTGAGAAGATGTAAAGTGATTAGCATAAATAGAAATGGGAAACACAAATATATATTAGCTGTAAAATTAGATCATACTTTCGTATTACTTCATATCTTGTTGCTACTGTTGTGTTCACTTGAGAATATATTATAGCATCTTTCTATACACACACAGAGAGAGAAAGAATGAGAGAGAGGAGACTGACTTTGTTACATCACTTTCACAATCCTGGGTAAGTGATTTACTTCTCTGAAATTCAATTTTCTCACATGACTAAATATATGACAATGTATTCAAGTGCTTAGCATGGAACATAATTAGGACAAAAGAAATAGAAGACTATTCTATTTTCTCATTACACTCTCATCTGGGGAACTTTATTGACAATCAGGTATGAATTATGAACTCTGCATAGATAAATCAGATGCCTGTTATTTTGAAACTCTAAACCCTACCATTACAATCCTTCAAACCAGAATGTCCATTTTATTTCATGTTATCAACACCAGTTTACCTCTGCTCTTATTTTAAACATACACACACACAAATCTCAATTCATCAGTGTCATCTAAAATCCAAATATCCTCTCAATCATTTCGTTCCCACTAATGGCACTACCAACCCCGTTATTCAGGTTTGAAACTAAGAGTAATAGTTAACCCTAACCTCACATTTGTCACTTGTAAATCACTTGTGAAGTCAAATGTTTTAAAACTGATCTCTTCTTCTCTTTTTCAAACTGACATCACAGTTTATTTTCATTTTATTATTTATGACTTGCACTAACCTTCCAATTGGTATGCTAGTCTCATATTTCTATCCCCTGCACTTCTACACAGTGCCAAGAGTCATATTGTCTCTTTCTCTAAAGCCATAATTGCAGTGATTTTCAACCTTGGCTATGGATAACATATGAGGAGCATTAATAAACGTAAATTCACACACACACTGGTGTCTGGGTTGGAGGTGCTCCTCGGATAATTCCCTGTACAGCCAAGGTTGAGAACCAGTGTTTGAATGGCTCTCAACTGTATACTGAATTCTGCACAAATTCTTTAGACATTTGTGACTCTACAATGTGGTCTATGACTAAGTTTACAGCCCTGCTTCCTACCACTCCCTCATACATACCCTTAGCCCCAGCTAAACAAGACTATTCAGAGTTCTTCCATACACACCTCTCCCTTTCCCAGCTCTCTAAATCTGCTTAGATTGTTCATTCTACTAGTAATATTCTCCCTCTCTTGCTCTTTAAAAAATTGCTACTCATCATTTAGAGCTATTATAAACCACTAAATACTCCAATCAGGCTATCTTGATGGACACAAACCAGAGGTAATCCCTCTTTCCTTTGAGTTTTCACACAGTAATGTATGCATATCTATGATCACTTGCATATTATTATTTTTAAACTGTAAAACCCTGAAAGAGAGGAATTATACCTCAATATTTGTTAGTTCACCCACAGCCCTTATTACAGAAACCTTTGCAAGGCAGATGCTCAATAGATAGTAATTTAATTATGCCTAATAAGGACTCAAAAATACAAGGAAGACACCCCAAAATGGAGTGATAAAGGCATAAAATGTTGCTGAATGTTGAAACACATAATCTTGCAACTTAAAAACAAACAAACAAACAAACAAACAGATTCCTATAAATACTGAATGACTGACACTTAGCGTAATGGTTAAGAGCATGGATTCTGGGGCCAAAATGAGTTGGTATCCTGACTCTGTAAGTGCTAGCTGTTACTTAGGTTACTAGAGGTCTTTCTGTGCTTTATCATCCTCATCTGCAACACCGGGAGGTTAGTGCCTACCTCCTAAAAGTTATAAGAAATGAATATATGTTCAATATTTAGAACACCCAACATGTATGTAATCAAAGTAACAGGATGTAGAATATAAACATTGGTATGAGTGTTCTTTTCCTGTACTTTCTAGTAACTAGCACGATTAAATTACCCAAACTTAGCATCTGATTTTTGTTGCTGTGCTAAAAATATATCCGCTGGAAATCAACTAAAACTGCTACAATGAACCTAGACAGATACCATGACCACTCGCTGAAAAAAGGGACTCCAACCAGCAAACCACAATTTAGAAACTCAAATGGCAAATGTTCAGAGCCTCTCTTGTGTCCGCAGGATTTGGGGAGTGAGAACAGGACCCTTGGGTGTCCTCCACCCCTATTCCAGGCCCCACTCAGGACCCCAGCAAATCCATTCACATTAGTCTCTCACTCCAGAGCCCAGAGGAAATAATTAAGGGGGAGGGGCAAAACGAAACAAATTTCTACTTGGAAAGCGCTACCTCTCCCCACCCAGCAGTCTCATCCAAACTCTGCACCCTGGCCCTCCCTCTTGTGAGGGGGTTTTAACTCACATCCGCCATGATGAGCCTCTTCCTCCGGCAGGTTCAATATCCAGCCTGCAAAAGAAACTCCTAGTGACTCCACCGCCAAGGATCCCTCGCCCTCCCCACCCCCAACCTAACAAGCGGGGTGAGCCCTCCTCCGGGTCCAGCAAGAATCCGCGCCTCTGGGACTGGCAAACACCGCAGGGAGTCGGAGTTCCCAGGTACGGTGGCCTTAGCCCACTCCACCTCCCCAGCCCCCAGGCTCTAAGCCCAAAGGGAAGGGGCGTCCACTCTCCCAGCTCAACGCCCGCGCAATCCGCGGGCCCAGGCCTGAACACCCAGCGAAGTGGCCCCAGTTACCCGGCCTTCCTGGCTACCAGGTCCTCTGGAGCAGGGCTCGTGGCTGTCTGCGGCCACTTCGGGGACAGCCTCAAAGACAGGTTCCGCAAAAAGCCGCGTCACATGATTTGTGACTTCTTCTGTGCCCCAGGAAGCACTCCCTGCCCCTCGGACACCAGGTGACACAGGATTTCCGGGGAGGTGCAGCGGAAACGGAGAGCGCGCAGCCCCGCCCCTCCGTAGGCTGCTGCCTCTTGCGCCTGCGCAAACGCTGCAACATAAGGCCGTAGGGCCGTAGGGCCGGCGGGACACCGGTAGTGGGGGATTCCGACCACAGCTCCTGTCTAAGGCCACCCTGAGAAAAGCATGCAAAGAAACAGTGTATGATTGTCATTAGTTTATCGGGGTCCGGTATCCTAAAAGCTTTTCTTTGAGTTGAAAAAATTTGAGAATGTGGTGTTAAGAGCCGAACAGCCAGCCCCAGAATGCCCGTTAATAGAAGTCCCCAAATCTGCCCCCAACTTCCTGGTCTCTTTTGGCTTTTCCCTGTTTGCCAGCCACTGCTCTTTACTCATGGCCTTGTCTAGACTGAATTGAGCCACGGGCTTTCTGGAGTTCCCACAGTTATCTGTGCACCTCTGAATATGCAGACATCGGTCAGCCTTTCATGGGCTCTTGAAGTGGAAGACCATGCCTGTAAGGAACGCCATAGCACTTGGGAGCCTTGCTTGTTTGCACACTTAACAAAAACCTACAGTAGGTAGCAGGGACATTAAGTCTAAGGGAACTTGTTTACAGCTAATCGTCAACTCCAATCCCTAGCAAGAGTACAAAAGTGAACTAGCCCAAGATGTGGTGAAAAGAATTGGATACTTACTTCCTAGTTGCTCCTGAGAAGCTCCCAAATGTTCCAGATGACTCTTAATTATTACAAATAGATTTAGCAGTTCCATAGCAACCAACATCATTGAAAATCACTTCATCTCCCTTATTTAAATCCTTTTGGTCTCTTAGCATCTGGGACATGGCTTCGTTTGTTTTAGGCCTTCCCCTAGTCTAGTCTCCTAACTTAAATGATAGCATTCAAGCTTGCCTTTGGTTTCTCTGCTATGTTTTTCTCTTTCCACAATATCCTGAGTGTGAGCCCTAAATCTGCACCTTTTATCTGAGTTTTACGTTCATATTTTAAGCTGCTTGATGGGTGTTGGATAGATTACTGCCAGCTCTAACTTAAAAGCTTTAAAAGGTGTCCAATAAATCTGTTTCTCATGTTCTATGTCTATTGGTTTTGTAATTCTACTAGTCAGGTATCTTGTTTGCACTCTTTTCTTCCTCCTTTCTTCTTTTCTTCCCTAACAATGTCATTTGCATCTATATATATTTTTTCCATTCTTCATTCAAACCATGATTCTATTCAGCAAGACGATAGCCACTTAACAATGACCAGATAAACCTTCTTAAAATAATACACATTACTGCTGCTCAAGAATTTTTTAGTGATGTACCTTTGTAGACAATGGCCAAATCGAGTCTTTAACCTGGCACTAACATATTATTATATTTTACTTCTGAATTTATTCTAATGTGAATCCTATACTCCAGCCAAACTGATTATCTCACTCTTCCATCACTATGACTTTTATTTTCTCACACTGGTTCTGGAGGTTCCTTTCATCTAGAATGATTACTTCTCTTGCAGAGGAGGAAAAACTTCCTTATGCCCACTTAGGTTTTGTGGCTGGGTCTAAGAATTAATGTGATATAGATAACAGGAAGAAAATTATACAAATTTATATATGTTTATTGTACATGGAAGTCTTCAGCAGGAAAATGAAGATCCAAAGAAGAATCCTAACCCTAACCCTAACCTAGCATTAGGCTCAAAAGCTTTTTATACAGAGATTGACAAGTTGTAGGGATGTGATAAGACAAAGGGGCTTAGGCTAGAGGCAGTAATTGCGGGATGGTAACTATGGGAAAAATAATGGGAGATAAGGGTTATTTTGGTAGGTTTGTTTGTATAAGTCCATTTCAGCATCAATCCCCAGTATCTGGTGATAGTAATGTTCTCTTCCTAGTAAAAGGAATAATGCACCTTTCTCATGGGAAGTGTTATGACCTGATTCTAGGTAGAAAAGGGAGGTCAGAGAACCTTTCCTGCATCTGTTATTTCTTAGTGCCATCAGATCAAAGTAGTCAATATGCCAAAATAGCATACTTTGAGGTGGTATGTTCTGAACCCCTTAACTCTCTACCATAGCTAATTTAAATCTTGTTCCCCTGTAACACCTTCTCATTCATAACATTCTCTCTTTTTAATTTTTTTCAATATTAGTTGATATACAATATTATATTAAGTATACAACATAGTGATTAGACATGTATATTACGAAGTGATCATCTCAATAAGACCAGTACCCATCTAACACCATACATAGTTATTATAATATCATTGACTATATTCCCTATGCCATATCTTACATTCCCATGACTGTTTTTATAACTGCCAATTTGCACATCTTAATCCCTTCCCTTTTAAACTGGTTACCCAACCCTCTTTTTGTCTGGCAACCCCGAGTTAGTTCTCTGTATCTGAGTTTGTTTCTGTTTTGTTTGTTCATTTGTTTTTAGATTACACATATAAGTGAAATAATATGATATTTGTCTTTCTCTGTCTGACTTATTTTACTGAGCATAATATCTAGGTATATCCATGTTGTTGCAAATGGCAAGATTTCATTGTTTTATTTTTATGGCCAAGTAATATTCCATTATTTATATGCACCACATCTTCTTTATCCAATCATCTAATGATGGACACTTAGATTGCTTCCATAATTTGGCTAATCATGCTGCAATGAACATAGGGGTGCATATGTCTTTGCAAATAAGTATTTTGGTCTTCAGGTAAATTGCTAGGTTATATGGTAGTTCTGTTCTTTTTTTTTTTTTTTTTCAGGAAACTCCATACTGTTTTCCATAGCGGCTGCACCAATTTACAATCCCATCACCAGCGCACTATGGTTTCCTTTTCTCCACATCCTGGCCAACACTGTTGTTTGTTGATTCATTGATGATAGCCATTTTGATAGGACATGACATCTTAGTGGGGGTTTAATGTGCATGTTTCCTGATTGGTGATATTGAGCATCTTTTCATATGTCTATTGGCCATCTTTATAGTCTCTTTGGAGAAATGTCTATTCAAGCCCTCTGCCCATTTTTAATGGGATTTTTTTTTTTTTTTTTTTGGTATTATGCTGCATGCATTCCTTATATATTTTGGATATTAACCCTTTATTGGATGTATCATTGGCATACGTATATTCTCCCTTTCAGTCCTTATCTTTTTGTTTTGTTGATGGTACTCTTCGCTGTACAAAAACTCTTTAGTTTGATTTGTCCTATTTGTTTATTTTTTGTTTATTTCTCTCATCTGAGGAGATATATAAAAAAATATTACTAAAACAGTGTCAAAGAGTTTACTGTTTGTTATTTTTGTCTATGAGTTTTATGGTTTTGGGTCTTACATTTCAATCTGTAATCCAGTTTTTGTTTACTCTTGTATATGTAAGAAAGTGACCCAATTTAATTTTTTTTGCTTGTGTCTGTCTAGTTTTTCCAACACCACTGATTGACGAGATTGTCTTTACCCCATTGTATATTATTGCCTCCTTTGTTATAGATTAATTGACCCTGTAGGCATGAGTTTATGTATGGGTTCTCTATTTTATTCCACTAATATATATATTTGTTTTTATTCCAGTACCATGCTGTTTTGATTACTATAACCTTGTAGAATAATTTGATACCAGGTAGCATGACACATCCAGCTATGTTCTTTCTCAAGATTGCTTTGGCTATTTGAGTTCTTTTGTGGTTCTATATATAGGATTTGTGTTCCACACACATTTTAGGATTATAAAATGTGAAAAATGCCATTGTTGTTTCTATAGGGATTGTATTGAATCTATAGATTGCTTTGGGTAGTATGCACATTTTAATGATATATGCATCCATTTATTTTCATCTTCTTCAGTTTCTTTCTTCACTGTCTTATAGTTTCCCAAGTACAGGTCTTTATCCCTGGTTAAATTATTCCTATGGATTTTATTCTTTTTCATACAATTATAAATGGGATTGTTTTCTTAGTTTCCTTGATAGTTTGTTATTGGTGTATAAAGATGCAACCAGTTTTTGAATATCAATTTTGTATCATGCTTCTTTGCTGAATTCATGGTAGTAATTTTTTGGAGAATTATTTAGGGTTCTCTCTGTATAGTATTGTATCTTATGCAAATAATGACAGTTTTACTTCTTCCTTTCCAATTTGGATGTCTTTTTCTTTCTTTTTTTTTTTTTTATCCTCACCAGAGGACATTTTTCCATTTTTTGTTCAGATAGAGCAGGAGGGAGAGAGAGGAAGAGAGAGAGAGAGAAACATCGACGTGAAAGGGACACATCGAGTGGCTGCCACCCGCACGACCAACCAGGGCCGGGGACAAACTGCAACCGAGGTACGTGCCCTTAGCGGGAACTGAACCCAGGTCTCTCTGGACCGCAGGCCGACGCTCCAACCGCTGAGCCAAACCGGCCAGGGCTGGATGTCTTTTTCTTGTCTGATTACTGTGGCTAGGACTTCCAGTACTATGTTAAATCAAAGTGGTGGCAGTGGATATCCTTATCTTGTTTCTGATCTTAAAGAAAAAGCTTTCAGGTTTTCACCAATAAATATGATGTTAGCTGTGGACTTGTCATATATGATCTTTATTAAGTTGAGGTATGTTCCCTCTATACCCACTTTGCTGAAAGTTTTTATCATAAATGGATGTTGGATGTTGTCAAGTCAGTATGATCATGTGACATTTATCTTTCCATTTTGTTTATGTGGTGTATCACCATAATTGACTTGTAGATATTGAACTAGCCTTGCATCCCAGGAATAAATCCTACTTGATCATGGCATGTGATCTTTTAAATACGTTGCTGAATTTGGTTTGCTAATATTTTGTTGAGGCCTTTGTACCTATGTTTATCAGGAATATTGGCCTATCATGTTTTTGTAGTGTCTTTGTTTGGTTTTGGTATCAGGGTAATACTGGTCTTGTAAAATGAATGTAGGAGCCTTCCTTCCACTTCAGTTTTTTGGAA